CTTTTGCCACTTTGAGTGTATTTGAGATCTTAAGGTTTAGGAATCTTCCAGAGACAAGGATGATTTTTTTAGATGTATAACTGTGATTTTTTTTTTTTTTTTTTTGGATTGGATCAAGAAGACCACTGCCAGGTAAAATATAACTGAACTGGAGAGTATCTACCAAGATCAAAATCAAAATGTTTCGAGTTTAAAACAGGAATGTAAGATGCCTCTAGATATAACACTGATGTACAGTCCTCACCCTTGACTTGCTGTCCTGCATAATTCAATATATTCACTCCCTTAGTTCTGAAACTTTCAGACTAATTTGTGTGCTTTTGAGATTTTATGTATAATACACTTCATTGCACCTTTAAATAAAAGTATTTATTTATGAATATGCTTTTATTTCAGGGATCAAGACCTTGAGCCTGGCGCCCCGTCCATGGGAGCAAAAAGCCTCTGCATACCTTTTCAGCCTCTCTGTGAACTACAGTGTGGGGCAAGATGTGTCTGCGGCAAAAACCCTGCCAAGTTTTACACCCTATTTGGTCGTAGTTACTAAATTGCTAGGGAAAGCACCTTCTCCTTTATCTGTGAATTGAACTTTTTTTAATAAGACTGAAATAGCCCCCAAACTTAATCAGTTTTGCGACTTTTTAAATGATTCAAAAAACAAAGCCATAAACCATGAACCCTTCCCCAATTATCAGTCTTAGGCTAGCAGTAATTCACAGACTTTTCTGTAAACATCTCTAATAATAAACATGTATTGTGAGCTGTAATATGCTTTGGTTTTTTTTTTTTTTTCTGTGTTGCTCAATGGGGAGGATAGGTATTCTTTGCTTGTATCTTTTTTCTGTTTGGGTGCATATATTTTCTCGTACACTGAGAAAATGTCTGAAAGATTGGCGAGAATGTCATAAACAGTCTACAGTACAGTTTAGTGTGCTGACATAAACTTTATAGATAAAACATCTGCTTTTAATTTTGCCTTCAAATTTTTCAATTTTCAGTACAGACTTGCTGCTAACTTAGCATGGTAAATGCTACCCTTTTTGAAAACTCCATCTGGAGCCAGGTGTTTCAAGGAATATTTTCCCCCCATCATAAAACAAGTTTGAAAGGCTATCTTAGATTAAATGCCACACTGTTAGCAAGATGCAGGTGAATGCCATTTCTTGCAGATATTTTGCAAATATTTTTTCTCTTATCTTATAAACTGGCATTTTATAGCTGTCTCACGGCGATACTGCAATGAGTAATGCAAAGGCAATCTGAAGAGAAGTATTTTCAGTGCTAAGGATTTTAGGCTGTGATTATACCTATAACATGTTCCATAAGCCCCTTTTGCTTTTCCTGCACTTACTATGTGTTGCTTTAGCAGAGAAGGCTGGATGTTGCAGAGTTATGAAATTATTTAAAAAAAAAAATACTACTTCCACTCTGAACATAGGATTGACTTAACAAATTAGAGATAGTCGTGGCACAAAATAACTTTTGGATGACACATGCTTAATTTGTTCCTTGGTTCTCCTGTATGTTTGAAGGCCATCTACGTAAACCCCTTTCCCTGAAAAGAGTTGAATGAAAACTAGGCAATTAAAAAGTTGGACCAGTAAGAGCCTCCCCAAACCCTTCCTGGGACACTACTACGTGGCTGCCTGTTTCCAAAACCCTATTTTTATGTAGAATCCATAGTCTAAAAGTCTTAAGCATACAGGAGACTTGCAGTGCTATTCCCAGTTCTTCGTGTTTCTCTGCTTTTCAAAAGCATGCAAAATGTTTGTTTTTGCCCAGATTCCTGTGGTCAACCTTCCTAGTCAAAATTTTGAATATTCCATTGATCCAGCGGTCTGTCCAGTTTACGACCATGCACCTTGTGATAGTACCCCAGTTTTTCAGAGGAAAATGCAAAAATAATTTTTCAGATCAGCTTGCTCAGAATGCTTGAGCACTTGGAAATTCTCTGTAATATTCCTTGCATGATGATTAGTCCTGAAGGGTTTGCTTCAGTTGCATCTTGAAATCATCTATCTTGCATTCAGCTGTCTAGGTATTTTCTCACCATATAGACAAAGTCCCAGGGGCAGTAATGAGCAAAGGATTTGGGGAATGATATGTCAATGCATGCGTTCATCTCTCATTTTCAGTTGACATACCAGAAGAGTGGCCCTAAGGTCTTTCTATCCTGGTATGCTGTCTCTAACACTGACTGGAATTACACTTTGGGAAAGAGCGTAAGTAGCAATACCAGAGTGATGTTTTCCCAGCCTTAAATGATCGGTAACTAAGAGCGGTCTTCAGAGGTATTGCCTACTGCAGCGCTCTCATGCAGGGGGAAGGGGAGAGGCAGTAACCAGCAGCTTCAATGTCCTCAGGCATGAGAGACAGGAGAGCACCACGATTTTTTGACAGAGCAAAACAGGTTATTAAGAATAGATGAGCACTTTCAGCTCCCGTCAAAACACTCTGCAACATCGATATTTTAAAAATGAGATGTGGAAGCTGTTAATAGCGCGGAGCAAAGGAAAGGCAAAACTAAATCAGTCTCTAGTACTGCTGCAACCTTATCAGTTTGAACAAACAGCCAACCTTCAACCAGTTGACTGGATCAAATTCATGAGTAAACATGTTGACAACGCTGTTCTTAGAAATGAGTTGCTCTCAACCTACAAATGAGTTTGTTTGAAGCCAAAGGGTTCACAGAAGCCCAGTTGTTTTTTGTTTTTTTTTTAATTTGGTTGGGTTTTTAATTCTTTTCCCCAGCATGTTTCTTCCTGATCGTAGTAGCGCTTGAAGTGTATGGAACGCGGATGACTCACCTGCAGATCTCTCTGTGGTTATCTTCCACAGAGGAGAAGCTGATGCCTGCCTGGGGGAGACACGTCCATCTCAAGTATCCTTCCACCAGAAGCACAATCTGAACTATCTGTAAAGCATTATAGAAACATCCATACTCTTAATTATATTGGTATAAAAAATTTTCAGAATCTTAATAAATTGTGTCTCTTGGAAAAGGAGCATATGAATCAGAGTAACACTACAGTTGATTAAATGATACTGCTTTGTGTTTACACTAGAACTGCAAATCTCTTAGTGCTCCTTAGTTCTTACAATTCTATACTGATAAATTTGGGTTAAATAGCATAGTAAAGTGGGATGTAGGGGAACTGCCTTAATGTGGTGCTGCTCCTTGTTGACAAAATAGAGCACACGAGCATTTTAGCTCTGCTGCAAAGGGAATGCTTCATGTAGCTCGAGCTCATGTTTTGGTAATTGAAACCTTGTGTAAGGCAGGACTTTTGAGAGCTCTGAAGTTTGACCTCGGTCTGTTTCCACTGAAAGGAGAATAACTCTTGAAAAAAATTCTCATTTTTCATGCTCTGTAGTTCACAAAATAAGTAGTTGAACATTAATGCAAGAGGGAAGAAAACACCATAGAAATAGCTGGAACAGAAGTAGTAACACAGGTGGGAGAGGATGAAGAGCAAGTATGGGTTTCAATGTTGTAATTAGTTCTGCTAATTCATCCTACCAGGGTTAGTGGTGTTCTCAAAAGGTGGTGGTGGTGGGGAACTCTCAAGAACTGCAGCTGCAGCGTGTAGGTAAACAAATGCCCAAATGTTAAAAATTATATCTGTTGGCAGGCAAGGCTTCTAACAGCCTGGACTTTAAACATAAACATTTTGGCTGTTGAAACCATGTGAGCAAAAAAATAAATGAAAATTGGGGGTGGGTGTTTGCGTTTTTGACCTAAAAGTTAATTCACCTTGGGAAATCTAAGGCCATCAGGGATAGTTGGTCAGCTCAGGTTATCAGTATTATTATCTTATCTCTCTATGGCTGTACTGCATGTAATTTCCTTCCATTTTATCTGTAACTAACTGTGTATATAGGTACACAGACGGGCATTTCAAACAAAAACTGGATCATAAACTTTTCAAGGAAGGCACCTGGTCTTATCATCCATATTGCCTCGTGTGCTATTAGCAGCTAGATTTCCTTCACCGGGGTTTGTGAGTGCACATAAACTCCTATGCATACACTCAAGACCCCAACAGGTACTACTCTGAGTGACAAAAAAAAGTTACTGCTTCAGGTTCTTACTCTGTTCCAGAAATGGCACCAAGTACAAGCTAGGACTTCTGCAGCTCTTCTTTCCCCCTTAGCTCCTGGTTGTGCTTTCCCCAAATCTGACTCTTCCTTGGAAGCATATGAGGATTACTTTGGGATTTGAAGACAGGCAGGGTTTTCTAAATGGGAAATAAATGATGCTCTTTGGGTTTATTGTTAAAGCTGAGCTTCTGTGTCTACTGGTTACGTATTTAGAAAACAAGTCTCCAACTTTGCTCCATATCCATGGGCAATGTTAAAACGTGCCAAAAGTACAAGCAGTTGAGAATTCTAGGTTGCTACAATGGAAGAGCAATTCAGTTGTCTTTGAAACTTGCTCTATGGACAACACGTTCAACTACCCCTGCAGGCAGTGCACGTTTACCGTGTTCTTGAAAATAACGTCAATGCAACATGGATTTAAAATGTCTTCTTCCACAGGTGTGTAGTATTTTCTCACTACTAAAGTTACTGGCAACAGAAAAGACCAAAACAGACAACGGAGGAAAGTTTTATGCAAAAGAAATGCCTTCTTTAACTGCTTAAAATTCTGAGCCACCTTCTTACACTGTCCTGTCTGGGCCTTATTCAGTTTTTTAGGACAGTGCCGTTGGGTAAAGTAGCACGTGCTGGTGCTCCCACTACTCTCCCTTGCTTTGTTTTTGTAGAAAAACCTCCTGAGGGTGGAACCCCTACAGGACTGGAGCCTTCAGGCTGCCTTCATATGACGAATCTTGCTAAACTGCCCTTTAAACTGATTTATTGTTTTACTGCTTCCTATAAAAGTGGCTCCCTCATGTGAGCAGCACTGGCAGGTGAAGGGCAGAATCGCAGGCAGCGAGTCACTCCTCGCACACCTCTGTCTTGCAGAACCCCAGAGTAAGGGGAAGAGAGCGAGAGAAATGGGCCGCTACTCGGGCAGGAGCAGCAGGCTCATCCTCATGTGCGTGGTGAGCCTTGTGCTTTTTGCTGTTGAGATCTCAGTAGCCTACGCTGGCAATTCTCTTTCCTTAGCTTCAGATGCCTTTGCTGTTCTCTCTCACCTGATCTCCATGATCATCGGTTTGTTCAGTGTTAGGTTCAGTCGCATCAGGTGGCACAAGGCTAACACTTTCGGCTTCAGCCGGGCAGACGTGCTGGGAGCTTTTGGCAACTCTGTTTTTGCCACTGCTCTGATGTTTAGCATCTTTGTTGAGGCAGTCAAGAGGTTTATCAATCCTCAGAAGACTGAGAAAGCACTGCTCGTCCTCATTGTTGGGATTGCGGGTCTGTTCTTCAATGTGTTCAACTATGTAATCTTCATGGACTGCTGTTATTGTCGTGAACCCCAAGGAGACGCCGAAACAGGTAAATAACCTAAGGCAGTTGCTGAACGTTGCCAGCCCTCTATGCTTCTGCTTGATGACTTTTCTAGAGACTGTTTACTGCTTCTCTGAGATGGGCGAGTAAAACATCGTAGTTTTCTTCATCCTTTTGTTAGCAAGGGTAAGGGATTTTATGTCTCAACCCATACATGTTTCCTGCTTATTCTGCAAGGCAGCTATCACCACGTGTTTCTCAGTAAATAATGTTTACGTGGTGTACGTGTTGACTTTCTAAAGAGTACGGTGATCTACAAGAGAAATTTTCTCCCTAATCCACTGGCTGGCCAAACACGGGACAAGGTGTACTACCACCATAAGGAGATACTTATTAGGAAATACCTAATCCTGACATACCAGTCATCCACAATCGGTAACTCTCCCTGCTTTAGTAATTCTGCTGTAATTTTTGTCTAGGATGTAGAGATCTTTTGAGAGGTGTTCACAGTTTGTATGAGACAAAAGAATAGGTAAGGGCAAAAGGAGAGTCTCAGCCTTCCTTGATTTGGGGGTAAAGACAACTGTTTTGAGAATATTTGAATGCTGACCAAAAAACCTGTGAATGCAGAGCTGAAGTATTCTTTGCCGATGTTTGTTAACCTGTGCTTCAGAGAGGGGCAAGGGAGAAACAGTGATACTCTCTACAGAAATCTTTTGCAGGAGGTTCTGTTGAGTGCACGGAGGTTTAGCCTTTCCGTTCATTTTTCTTAGCACCGGGTTTTTCAAATTTCTACGTTTGGGGGGAGGATGGGGGCTGGTTTTTTATTCCTGCAGAAAAGATCTCACTTTATTTGACAAGATACTTGCGTGCTCTCTTTCTCTCTCTCTCTCTGTACATATATACATACAGACACATACAAACATATTTCTTAAAACTAGAAATATTTCAGTCAGGATAGGAAACAGACGTTTGCAAAGCATTAACTGGACAGCCTGGGGGGAAAGCTGAGAGAACCCATCTAATAAAGCAGCTGCTGTTATGTACTGTTCTAGGTGAGGTAAGGTAACTTTTATATTTGACTTTCAGGCTAGACAGGGCTTTGGAGCTAGAAATTAAAAGTTTGTTAGTTTATCTTTCAGTGTTCAATGTGTTTTCTGTAGGACTTACAGTGGAAAATATTTCTGTTCATTATTAAAGGTACCTCCAGACAACACTGAAGCTTTAACTTTACTGGTGTATAACGCTAAAACCAGATGCACAACTTATTTTGCTGCCTGTTTGTTTAGATACCCAACTGTTTAAAGTTTGAGCTGCTTTTAAACAAAAGTTGTGGTGATATGTAATTAGCAGGGGGATTTAATGGGCTTTTATGTTAGGAACTGTCAGCAATTCCTGACGAAGGCTTAGTCTCCATTTGTGACAGCTTCTTGGTTTCATCCTAGCAGAAAATTGTGCCTCTGGGGGAAGCCAGGGAAGAGGAACACATCAGCACTTAAAACCAAAGGTGGAGAGTGTCAGGCAATTAGGGAATTAACTTAAATTAATGGCAGCTGTGTAGGTAAATGCCATTTTCACAGAATTTCCAGGATCCTGCTCCTAACAACTCTCTGGGACAACACAGCCGTCCCTCTCTCTCCGATAGACTCATGTCCAAATACCTGGGAACTCCACTTCGTTTTCAACTGAATTTCAGTTGCATAAGCCAGGGATGAATTTTGTACTATTCCATAAACACAGTGGTAGATTTGCCGGTGGTTTTGCCTCTCTGTTTCTGGTACGGTGAATCTTCTCTGCTTGCAGTAATGCCTACAGGCAAGACAATGCCATTTTATACTGTAGAGGAAATGCTCCTTTCTTCTGGACTTGATTTTATAATCCCCATTTAGGTAAAATTTCACATTTATTTCCTCCAATTCTCTCTATGTTCAACCTAAGTGGAATTTTTAGTGCATTTCTTTTTAAATAATTGTTATTCCCCAGATAGTTGTTCTCTGAAAAGTATACTTACATGCTTTATATGTATTTTATGTATATATTAAAAAACATTAAAAAAGAGGGATTCCATCTTGCTCTCTTGTCATCCTGTGTCTGAGGAAATGATACTCTTTCTGGGAGATGGAAGTCAAGGCAAATTTTCTAGTGCGGCAGTGCCACTAGCAGAAATTCAAGTGGATGAACATGGTCTCTGAATCCTGCTGGTGCAATCCAGTTGCCCACAGGCAATACCCTTGGTGACACCGGTGACGGCTGGCTGGAGGGTAAAGATTTGTAGAGTCACCCTCTACCTCTTAGGCTTTCATGGGAAGTGGGAGAGCTGCCTTCAAATCTCTCTTCCCCAAGTAGGGAATGGATTTAAACAGACCTGTTTTCTCTTGTATGTGATTGTTTGCATCGCTTTGAAAAATACAAAGCAAAAAACAGAGAGAGTGGTTCAGTCATCTAGTGCTGTATTGTGGGTGCTGAGGGCAGTGGGAACACCTAAATCCACTGAAGCAAATTCTTCCATGTGTATTAGTGCCATGATTAATCACAACAGTCAATGGTTCTTCTTGTTCATCTGTTATGTGGTCTACTGTCGGGGATGGAAAAATGAGCTGGTGGGTTTCCTGGGTGTTGCCGGTGGCAGGGACAGAGCGAGCCATGCCTACAATGAGCGTTGCTGGCCAGGTCTGAGATCCAGTGGATGCAGAGGGTGGTGTTCACAGGGGTCAACCCAGCTCTCTGTCCTTTTCCCTTGTTCTACTTCTGTACTCCTCCTGTACTACTCTGTACTTGCTCATTGCAACCTCCATGCCTCAGGTTTTTGTTAGTACAAATATTGTTGTTGAGCAAGTATAAATGTGTTTTTCCGAGTTGCCATTCCTGCTTACCAAGGCAGACCCAATTTCCCTCCTTCAGCCATTGGCTGGGTTTGTTTTGCCCCTCTCCTCTCACTCTTCTGTCCCTCCTCCTTCTCTTTTTTTCTGGTTCTTGCTACCCTTTTGCTCTGTGTCCGACTCCCTAAGTCTTCATCTACTGCCCTCCCCCTTTGCCTCTCTCTAGCTCATTGTTCAAATTCCCATCCATCCCCTCTGCTGGCTGAAGCACCCATCTCTTCCCACCACGTTAAATTAAGGTCTCTCTGCCCCTCTACGCCCATCGTTGCACTTGATTCAGGCAGTCTGGTTCCCCATGCTATGTTAGCACTAAGAGGAGAGGTCAGCAAGAGTACGGGGAAGATGTGTCCCTGTTCTTTCTTTTGATGCTGGCCCAGAGCAGCTATTACAGGTAGAAAATATTTCTACAGTCTCTAAAGAAACTGCTGTGTAGAGGTACTTGGGCCAGCTGGGCTATCCATAGCAGTGTGGAGAGCAGCACAGACTGGTTATTGCTTTGACTTTAAATCCAGGAAATACTTGTTAAAACATAGAAACATTAAAGCCTTCCTAAGAAACTTCTGCCAGAAGGTAACATTCACAAAACGCTTTCTTGCTATTGCTGTTGGAAATGACACAGCAGCTTTAGCCAGAGTTTTCTGACAATTTTGAGGTCTTGTATCTTACACGGAAAGTTTTGGCACAAAAATGAAGAATATGGCAAAGTAATAAGCAGCTGAAAAAAAAAGTCAAGCTCGTATAATAAATACCAGACAACTTTAATACTGGCCATACCCTCTATAGTCAGTCATAAAAATACAGAAGCTTGTTTTACTGCACACAGAGATCAGCTTACTCTTGTTTGTGTAGTTCAGTGTCATTGTCTCTTCTACTCATTTATGTACAGTTTTAAACTGTTAGGGGGACCACAGTTTGAAAAGCACCACACTAGCCTGATGATAGTACTTCTCTGTTGTTCGTCGTGAGAAAGTGAATAAAGATGTAACGTGGATAAAACATTTGTCCTGTCGTCTTGTGATCTGTATGGGGAGGAAGCAGGAAACGAAGCAGCTGTCACCTAGCCCAACCCGTGTGATACTGAGCCACCCATAAAATGGCTGGGGCTGTGAGTAGCAGCCCTCACCTTCTCATGAGAGACCCCAGGGTCTTTGCACAGTTCACAACTCATTAAATAAAACACGTTCCGTGTTAGCAGCCAAGGGGCTTGCTTTTGTATTCTGGCAGGTCCACTTTAGCAGGCACGCGCGTGAGGTTTTTGTGTGATAACACTGTTGGGTCCTGATTCTTCTATCTCACTGTGCACCAGCAACCTGCCTCCCCGATAAGAGGTGGCATGTAAGCTAGCAGTCACATAAGTGGGAAACATACCTTCTTTCCCCTCCTGGACCTTATGCAGAGTGAGTTTGTTTATTTTGAGGCTTGCTGGGAGGCATATCTCTTTTTCCAGGCTTTTGTAAGTAGGAGGGAGTTGGGGGTATATGTGTGTGAATGAAGTGAGATGAGGAGAGGTACTAGCTTTAACCGGCTGGGTGACTTGGGAATGCTTTGTTGCTATAATATTCTGAACTCAATTTTGATGTCTGTAGTTGCAAACATACTGATCCCAGGGGAAGTGAGAACATTTATAGGCCAAAATAAGTGGATAAGTGGCTGCTTGACCTGTATCTTAATGCCATAGACCTTCCCAGTGGAGACCCGGTGAGCAGAAGTGTGCAGGTATTGAAAAGCAATTGCATTTTTAGCAGCGCTCTCAGATTCAACAGACCCAACAGTCTATAGTGCAGGAGACAAAAGTCCTCTGGGCATCAGAGATCCAGAACAGAGGATTTCAGTTGCTTAGGCTGTCAGTATGAAGAATTTCATGATCAGTTAATTCACCTGCATTTAAGAAGGGAAAAATAAGTTCCCTGGTCTGAACAGGTTTCTTTCTCAAACGTGCTGCTGAAAGGGTGCCAGGCTATGCCAGTCCGATGGTTTTGGGACCTTTCTAAGGAATGGGAAGGAACGCTGGCTGTAACACCCATAACAACAAACCTCTGGCTTACTGTGCTTTTCACACTTGAAAAGCCTGAAAGCTTTTCCTCAAGATCAGCATTACTACCTCTATTTTACCTCTCTTTTGAGTGTATCTTCACCAGGTTGATGCTATTTTCCCCCCAAAGCACCAACCCTTCAGTAAACACTTCGTGCCAATTCACCCCCGACTGCATTCACAGAGAGGTGACTGCCGAACGCTCAGCACAGGAGTTTGCCAGCAGACGGCTGCTTCATTCACGCAGTACGTCCTCGTGGATTTACGCTGCCTGTGTAGTGCACTGTGGCATCCAAATCCGAAACGCTTGCCAACATAGTGTGTATAAATGAAGGGATGTATGACACGCATTTATTTCCATAAATCCCAGAGATGTTAGTGTGTTGGCGTGCAGGTAACCAAAGCCCGCTCTAACCAAATATTTAGATTTTCTGGCTTCGATTTCTATAGCATCACTGGAGGTAGTCCTCTCAAACAGAATAAAAAGGGCAAGGGAAACTCTGAAAGTAATTTTACATGTTTATCAGGTACCTAAGACTGAACACGTATCTTTTCTGAAGGTTTTCTTTAGTTTAATAGTGTGCCAAATAATCCTCACCAAATTCTCCCAAAGCTTTTCTGAGCAGCTACCCCAAAGGTAACCAGATCTGTGTTAACTTATATTAGCTGAAGCTCTAATCCAGAGTCTTCAACAAAGACAAGGCAGATGGGAGGACACTGTGGAAGTCTAGTTAGCAACGTGCTTCACTATTTTTTCTTAAGATTTTTTTTTAAATGCTTTGTTCTCTTAAAAGAAACCTCAGAAGGTAATCTAAGGGGGAGACATTTTACTTTCCCTGATTGTTTTCAAGGAGAAAATTTTGCATCAAAACAAGTAAAAGCAAAGGTTTTGGGGCTACCTTTTGGCCAAAATGAAAAGTGTGGAATGAAAATTTTAAGTCTATAAGTAAAGCAAGCAAAGCATCCCTGAATGGTTTATGCAACAGCATAAAGGTTAGATCAAAACTTCTGAACCTAGATTCCAATGCTACTAGTACCGCTGAACTTCGGGTAACTGCATTCGCTCTCAACCTTGGACCAATTTCATAGTAAAGGCATAGACAGACTGTCTGAGTTACATCACACTATCTGTGGTGAGCTGTAAGGAAATAAAAGGACTGTAAGATAACTGAGTTCAAAGTAATAAACAGACGTGTTATATACGTTAACTGCAATTGTTTTGTGTGGACGGCTGTTCTACAGAGAGTTTGCTACAGGCACAGGTTTGGTATCAGCTTCAGTCTGGAAATGCTGCTGGGATAGAAAATGAAGATCTTGCAGTAGGACTCAATGGAATTTACAATGATGAAAAAGGTGACTGGCTTTCTGCTCTTCATGTCCTTTGCAATATGCAGCACTACCTCCCGGTAGAAAAAGGTTATATGGGGGGTGTGTGTGTGTATATATATGTGTATATATATATGGGAAACTTAACAGAACTACAATTTTTTAATAGTGAATTATCAAGCAGTTGAAATATTCAGGGAAGCACTATCCAGGTAGCAGAGCAGATACTGGCTGGATACATCTTAAAGTATGCAAAAGGTTCCTTTATACTAGATACCAAGGGCAGGGAATGGTGCTTTGCAACTAACAAACTGAACAACCATCTTAAAATAGAAAAAATCTAATAAAAAGAAGACGTTCCAGGCTAGGAAATAAATAATCCCACAGGTCCATCGTTTCAGATTGACCTATCAGTGTATTCAAGAGGGTTGGACCAGATGACCCCTGAGGTCCCTTCCAACCTGGTATTCTATGATTCAAGCCCTCTTTGGAAGGGCATGAAAAATCTGTTCTCCATGTCCAGCCAGCTCGTGGTCAATCCCTGGGACAGTTTCAGGACTGTCCTGAAGAGTCACAGCTGCAATTAAAAAAGCCAGGGATATTCACCTCTGTACTCTGCCAAGAATGCTGATAAAACTTTCATCCAGACTGCTGAACTCTTGCTGAAGGGTTAACTTTCAGGCTCCTGCTGCCTGGACTGAAGCAGACCTAGTGAACTGATTTCCCAGCCCTGCCACCCTTCTGCACATGCCAAGAGACCCCATCGTCCTCTTGCAGGTATGGTTCTGAGCAGAATTAGAGGGAGATATAAATAAAATGAGCAAACAGCTAGGAACAAACCATCTGCAAACAGAATACTCTTGTACTAACCATCTTCCACAATAAGGCTGCTTGGTTGGTGTTTATTTTGTGATTAATTTTGTGGTCAAATTTATCTGTGGCAGAAGCCAAGCACATTGTTTCGACTTAGGTTTGCTAGGAATTTGGCCCAGCTTTCCTAATTTAAAGGAACAAGCTTCATGAGAGCCTTCAGGGTTGTCACCGGGTCTTGTTGGAATGAAGACGGTTTAGGCTCTGTACAAGAAGAGAAATGCAAGCTTAAAGGTCCATTCTCACCCACCCATTGGATTTCAGGCTCTTACAGCTAGGGATGCTGCCTTTAAATGTAATGTGCCTAGGGTCAGCCTCAGCTTTTTAGTGCAAATGTAATATTTTTTGCTCCACAGTCTCAAAGAGGCGTGACTCCTTTATCACCTACAGTGGTGTGTGGGCATTTGTTTCTTTCATTCTCCAGTTTCTTCCAGATCATTCCTGAAATATCTTTTGTAAATAATTTTTATGGTGGATTAAAAAGTAATCTCTGCCAGGACTTTGATAAGCAGGATGAAAAGTGATCTCTTCTAATTATAGTGTTCAAAATTAGTTCTTTGTTTTCAAGATTTTTTTTTTTTTACTGTCCAAATTCTTTAGCACCACAAGGCTATGAGTGATCCTATTTTCATTTTTCATTCAGCAGTGGAAGAACATTACTGTTGTTACTGCTGTTACTGCTGTCTAATATTTCCCAGTGATACATAGAGATCCTATTTTCAAAGGCTGATGATGGCTTCTCTGCAAGAAACAACTAAGTAGATTTTAACCTGTGACCTTGAAAATGGATAACTTGAGGAGGGTGTGACAGAAGTTTGCAAAACCAAGGGTGGCATAGGGAAGGTCAGTAGTCATTGACTGTTTTGTCCTCTAATACAAGAACTAGGGTATATCAAATGAAAGACATGGAAGAGAAATCCATTGACAGCTACTAAATACAGAGATACCTAGCTCAGAAACTCGCTTGAGCTGAAAATGCTTGAAGGATGGAAGAGTATTCTGGGAAAGTATCATATATACTTACCCTGTTCTTGCTGCTACCTAAGCATCCCCTTATGGCCATAGGTGGGGATAGCCTGTTGGCTAGAGGTTCAGACTGCCAATGGCTAAGTGTTAAAAAATGGCGTGTAGAGAACCTTAAAAATGCACTTAAAAGTGCACAGAAATCTTGAAGCTTACAGGAGTGCTTTGCATCTTTGGGGTTCAGAAGGAAAGTTGTCTCGTTTGTAAGAATTTTACTAATTCATAAGAATGTTACCAATTCCTGCTCCTGATTAGGATGAGGAAACTGCAATAGCAGCTTTTCTAGCAATATTGTAGCTCAAACTAAAGTTGGCAAATAATTCGGAAAACTAAGGCGTTGGATGACCTTTTCTGAACCTCCTAAGAGGAACTTGTTCTACTCATCGTTGTTAGAAACAGAGAGACTGAGATATTTAGGCTGATTGTCTTGTTTAATAGTACATAACTTAGGCAATCTCAGTACTGGAGGAATAAGTGGAACTGTAACATTATATTGTTGAATATCTACAGTCACCGTAAAACACATAAGGATGCTAAGCACTCTGTGAAGCAATCAGAAACACAGTTCCTTTCTAAAAGGATTTGAGATGAAACTTTCTGACACTGCAAGTGGATCGGTGCAAGCAGAACCATAGTGCCCACAAGGGGGGAAGAGCCTGAGTGAAAACCCTGGTACCAGGCTTGGTGCCTCCTACGAGCAGGATCAAGGCTTTCTTTTGGACTGTGTGGAAGAAGATCAAAGTGCCAAAGAGCTACAGGGACAACACAGACTTTATTCTGAAGATTGAGCTAAATTAATTATTCTTGTTATTGAAAGCGACGACTTACTGAACAAGAATGATTAGCGTAGCTTTGTTCAGATCACAGTTTTAGGAGTCGTTTGTCTAGAAGTGATAGCGGTACCTGGATGAAGAGGGCTAGGGAGGCTTGTATGCATAGTGGGGCGAGCAAAAGCTTGGATTTCCAAGAGCCTTTCTAAGTGGCCATAGTGTGAAGGGAAAGGCCCTTGCGTGGATAAATAACTGGTCAGAAGACGAGAAACAGAAAGCAGGAGAGAATGATCAGTTCCACAAACATGTTTGCTAAATGCTCAGAAGACAGAAAGTGAATGAAACGTCAGGCAGTACTGGGAAAGGGGTAAAGGAGATAGTGGGACCTTTGCTGTGCCTCTGTATGAATCTGTGGCTGACCTGTGTTTTGAAGACTGTGCAGGTTTGGTTCCCTCATCTCCAAAAGATGTAGATGGGAACTGGAAATAATTCAGAGATGGACCTCTGGTCTAACCCAGCACAGACATTGCTCTGCTCCTATGGCAGTGTGTGGCTTTCAGACTGACGGTGTATCGTGAGAAGCAGACTGAGATGTGTGAGCTTGACATGCAGAAGAAGGAAGAACCAGGGGACCAGCAGGCACAGCTTCAGAGCTGAGGCTCTGACACGTACTGCTTCTGACTTCTTCAGTGAGTCATCTGTAATTGTGCTTCATGTAAGGGACTTAGTCACAGCCTTATTTGCTGAAAATAATATTTTTAGCACTATTTCTTCAAAATAACTGTGATATTTTTATGTTTTTGAAGTGAGTTCAGGGCTATGACATTTTTTTTCAAAGAGAATTACTGTATATTTTGCACAGGAGGATTAATGATGTTTCAGCTACTGTATTATACATCTTCCGAAAATAAGAACCCCTGGAAATTCTTTTCAGCTCTATGCAGGTGCAGTGAGCTGGGCTTCAGTGAATTTTTTGATTGCAAGTGAAGTGCCAGAGGCAGAATCTTCTATCATGAATTCTAGTAAGGAAGATACAGTCTGTCATTTTAAAGTTTTTATCTAATAGACTAGTTAAACTTCCTATAACTCTCATGTATTTGTCTTTTTGTTCTACCTGTGTCAGACTGCTTTTTATTTGGCACTACTGTTTAAAAGCTCTCATCATATGTTGGTAGATGTAATGTTAAAGCTGAATGTGCGTTGATGTAATCATGCTATCTGCTCTCGCTATTGTGTTTGTCTTTATGGTAAGGTTCTTTTCAATGCATTTATTTTTATGCATTTGCTAATTTGAATATTGCAGGTTACTTTCATTGCTTGGCCATTGAATGTGTGAAGGACACGCATGAGAATCCCCAGTTCGGTGGGAGTTGTGCATTTTAGTCCTTGCAGATGGAGGGGAGGTTATCCCCTGAATGCCTACTTAGCTCTACTCCAGAGGTTACGATACATCTTGGGTTATATGCAAGAAAGGCTCTGGTTGTGTTCACATAATTTAGGTGGAATTGAGAGGCCTCATTTAAAAGATCTATTCAAGCAAACGATCAAACTCAATTAACAGCAGTACAATGCAATTTCTTTAGAGTTAGAATAAAGAGGAAATTCCCGAGGCCTTTAATGAATTTCTGGTTGTAAAGAACACCACCTTTGGTACCAGGGACATGATAGTGTTCCCCGGCCATGCCGGTTTATTTTCTGATAGCGATGTACGGTTTCTCAAGCGTGGTGAAATGTTTGATGTGGCACTTCAGTGTGAATTGTAGTTGCTGAAGCAGTACCTCCAGCACTGGTGCGCCTCTCGCATAACTGAAATACTCCAGGCTCTCCCAGGATATAATTTTAAGGATGTTATTTTCTTTAGGTCTTATGTCTTTTATTTAAGTTGATTATTCTTGGGCCCAGTTCTGATTTACTTTTTTACCTACTTCTGAAGTCAAACATGAAAAAGAATTATATGATGACCCCCAGTCCAGTCTGGGGTCACTGAAAATCTAGTGACAATAGCAGTTGTTTTTGAGAATGGCTTAATTTCCCAGCACCTCCTTTGATTATCCAGTGGCTCCCATCATCTCAAAACGCTGTGTTAGTAGTCCGGCTCTGTCCTTTTTCCATTTGCATGCATGAGTGCCACTTTCCCAAGTCATAACAAAAAAAAAAATCTGCAAATACAAGAGAGGGTTACTCATTTATTATGCTTCTTATAGATTATTCTGTAGGGTAAAAAAATGCATGAAACTATTTTTCTCATAGGCTGATGATAGATTCATGCACACTTAGGTACTGCTTTGACATACCTTTTTAAAGGCTAGCGGCAGGAAATTACCTGGTTCAGTAGATGGCACTCTATCCTTTGATTTGGCACTTAAGCCATCAAGAAAGCAGCAAAGGAGTATAATTATTAGCTCCGTCACTGAAACTTCACCCTATTTGGATAGCGTGGTGGTACCCGGTGTCCTGGAGGGCGCACAGGACAGCCTTTTGGTTTGGTCTGGCTAGCTCTGCCTATCCAAGCGGGCCCTTTTCCAGCCGGCGTGCAGGTTTGCGCCTCCCCGCCACCCTTTTATTTCGTATTTTATTTATTTCCTATAACCCACGGTCGTTTCTTCGCTGCGGGGCAGACGGGCGG